GCTTAATGTGGGAGGAAAGCCGGATGGAGACGCACTCAACCCCGAATGAACCATACAGAAGGAAGGAAACGGGAGATAACTCTGTCCAGTACTATGAGAAAATAGTAACAGGAAAACCAACGGCAAATTTTCGTAAGTCGATCGAAGTGAAAAAGTTCTTAACAAATATAATATACAAGTTAGAATCAACGATAAATCACCAACCGTACTATTTTGACGATGTCTATGGTGAATTTGTGAACGTCGTTTGCTAAGAAGTGCAGGTTAAGCTACCAGTGAATCTTTATGTCAACTGGGAAAAGTAACAAGAAGTGAGACATCATCGGCCATAATGGAAGGATATGTACACATTAAAGTGAAATGAGATGTGTATAGCAGTGAAGGACTGGTGCCGGGGCACGCAAATACCAACAGAAACAGAGAAGTCAACATCGCAGCAAAATTCACCAGGATATGGACGATGTGTGTGACGAAAATAGAGAAGATTTTTGGAAGTGTATTGTCAAGGTAGCAGTAGGTAATGATCGACAGAAAACCATTCCTATGGAAATACTATTACAATAAAGGGATAAAGACCACGTGTTAGATTGGTGGAATAGGTCTTCAGCAACCCATGCTTGCCGTAAAAGGCGACTATGCTTGTCGTAAGAGGTGACTAACGGGATTGGGTGGTCAGGCTCGCTGACTTGGTTGATGCATGTCATCGTATCCCAATTGCGTGGATTGATGCTCATGATATCACTGGATTTTCTGGTCCAGACTCGATTATTTACAGACCGCTGTCATATAGCTGGAATATTGCTGAGTGCGGCGTTAAACAAACAAAGCAAACTATTGGTGGAAAGCGGGTTATGAGGAACTGCTGAACATAAAAACTGCAGATGACGACACAAGGGATACGATGACGTCAGAGGATGGTGACATTCACATGGTGACATTTAATGATGACATTACTATAGAGGAGGTCAGAGAAACTCTCAGGAAAACCAAGAACTGCAAAGCCCCTAATATTGACAATACACCATCAGAGCTTTTATGGGGAGACCACACTAGCGAACTAGTATATAAGCTGGTCAATGTTTGTTTCCAAACCCCTGTATACCTGATATGTGGTCAAAGGGAATAATCAATCCCAAACCTCATCATGTCACTCAAGGGACCCGTTGAAGTACAGGCGACTAACGTAAGCAGCTCGTGGTGGTTATAAGCTACACTGTGGAGTGCTAAATGCCCGATTGGAAATGGAAATAAACAACATTTTCAGTGATATTGAAAATTGTTTCAGAGAGGGGATCACATTGCTTCGATAACTAGTATTATAGAGATCTGAAAACTAACGCTGCCTTCTCGACTTGAAGAATGCGTATGATGGAATCGACAGAAGCTTTCACTTTCGTGACTCACTTTTGAATATATCAGCTTGGTCCAGTCGCTATATGGCTGAAATAATGCCGATGCGACGTTAAATTCTTATTCACTCACTATTTACCCCCCATTACTGTCCTTGTCGCTGGTGAATAAAGTTTTTTCTTTCTGCTCATGTTTCCTATTATTCATACAATTAACATGTTATTTGTTAAGTACCACACCTTACCCAGCTTCTCCTTACCCATCTCTTTTTCTGATTATAAAAAAAACCCAGGTGGGTATTTCAAGTATATTGTGTATATTTAATTATTTTAGCCTCCTTATAAAATATAATTTTATCTATTTATCAATTTGTTTTATTGTCTCTCATAAATCGCTGTTAGATTGGTCGTAGATAGTGTGATCAAACATGTAAATCACCTGTTTTATTTTTGTACTTTAAATGGTTTACTAGTGAGACATAAATAAACGCGTCTGTCTGTCTACTGTAAATATACATCACGGTTTATTTTGGTTATTTTTTATTACAATATCAAAACTTGCAAGGTGTTTTTACTTTGAATGTTATAACCCTGAGCAAGAGTCGTAAGACGCTCTTTGCAATCTTCGTGAAAGAGCGTTCTCGATTGTACCTCAAAAGTTGTGTAATGTTGACACCAAAGGGTGGAGCTGCTGGAATAGTGTTCGACATAAAGAGAAGGTTGACAATTGGAAAGTTGAAGTCATCCCTCTGTATAGTCGCCTTATGGTCTAGTGGAGAGTTTTTTTTATGTCATGCAATAAAATTCCCAAAGAACGAACCATTGCAAATGTAATTGAAAAGACATCACAGTCCGATATACGCCGCATTTCAATAAATAAAACGCTACCTTTTGAAGCGCAGCATGTGTACCTAGCTTTCCTTTCAGTCAATTCGTGTCCCACGCCCGACTTTGAGCATATCAAAGTACTTATGATTTTTCACTCTTTGAAAGGTGGCATGTTTCAAGCTTTACACATGGTAATACCATTCAAAAGATGCATAACAGCGGATAAACGTGAAATCTTCACTTTTTTATTTCGAAGGCTATATTTGAATGTGTATAAAAACCGTCTGATTATAGCAAATGCTGGCTATCCTTTGTCATGTTGTGCATGGAATTGCGAGACAAGTTTACTCTCTATATGGATCGTTATAAAAACAATTGTACCCCTTTTGAATAAACAAAAATAAAACTTAAAAATTCAAACTTTTAGCTATTTAACAAGACAATTCTAAACGTGAGAAATTGTTGGATATGTTATGCCAACACGAAGAAACATAATTGTGTCATATTTTAAATATACAGGAGCAACAGTAGAAACTTATTTTTCTTAGTGTAACCATTAGAGTTAGCAATATTTTACAGAGAACAAAATAATACACTATTTCTGTCAGTGTATTATTGTAAAACTAATATTTTACCTCTGCCCTGGAAAAGAAACAAATTCTCATTTTTAATATCACCACGTGTTAAAGCCTGATTTATCGCTCTTTATGAGAAATAAAAAAAGTGATGATTGAGGGATGATTTTGTCTTCTCTGTGTCCAAAACACAACAAATATAATAGTTATAATTTCAATATTCTTTACTTATTGAACATGTGTGCTTTGTACTTATGGAAATGTATGCTATGCAATGTGTGTTTACCTAAATTATATTAAGAATTTCCTCACGTAACAGCAAGGACAAAGCGGTTACACCAAAGACAAGGCAGTAACAAGTAAATAGTGTTCATATTGGCTTTTTATGTATGTTTATGTTATTCTTGCAAACATTATGTTTATGTTCTCATGTAAATATATTTCTCTTTGTTACTTTAAAATGTAATTTGTGCATATGTATGTGAGTGTGTGTGTGTATGTATGATTATGTGTGTATGTGTGTATTGGTGTACATATGAGTGTATATATATTTATGTATGTATATGTATGTGTGTTTTGGTGTACATATGAGTGTATATATATTTATGTATGTATATGTATGTATGTGTGTTTTGGTGTACATATGAGTGTATATATATTTATGTATGTATATGTGTATGTATATTTGTATATATATATATATATATATATATATATATATATATACACATATATATATATATATATTTATACATACATATGTTTATGTGTATATTTATATATGTGTGTGTGTGTGTGTGTGTGTGTGTGTGTGTGTGTGTGTGTGTGTGTGTGTGTGTGTGTGTGTGTGTGTGTGTGTGTGTGTGTGTGTGTGTGATCAATGTCTGTGCAAATATATTAGGGAAAGGGCCACCTAAGTTGGATAACTTTTGTTGACCATATATGTCAATAAAATATGTTTAAAACAAAACATAACACCAAGGACATTACCATTACTCATCACCGCTTTCCTGTCATCAATCAGTCGGAAATGACGCTCTATAATTAGTGTCACATAATTACAATAGCATAAGACATTTTTCACAACGTACTTTGAAGTTTCTACATAAAGATGGATCACTCTAACACCTTATTAAGCAAATGGTTGCACCAAATACAGGAACCATGATTTTCTTATTTTTTTATTATTTAAAGATAGAAACAAAGAGAGACTCATGTTTATTTTAAAATATCCAATCCCATTAATAAAATAACAACATATGATAAATGTATATGATATATAATCTGAAATATGTTTATTGTAAAAAGCATTCAGTGTTTATTGTCAGTGATATTTAAACAATTTCAGACGATACACAAATCCACCACAAGCAGTTAAAGCAAAGCACTGACAAAGCAAATACTAGTATTTGACGATCTATTTTAATTTGGTTCACCACTGAAATATTAGGGATGAAAGTTAAGGACTATCTTAAACTTTATGTAAGATAAAGACTATTGACATAAAATGAGTACATATATTGATAATGACCCATATACAGTAGTAGTATTGGTAGTTAATTATAAGGTAGTTGTCGCAGTAGTAGTTGTAGTTCTAGACATTAACCAGTAGCAATTTTTGTATAAATAAGTAGAAGTGGTAGTAGTAGTTGTGGTTGTAATGGTTGCTGATTATTATTTTGTTGCATTGTAGATGTTGTCGTTGTTGTGGTGGTGGTCGTGGAGGTGGTAGAGGCTGTGGTATATTGAAGTCGCTGTTGTAGTAGTAACAGTTGTGATTTAGGCGCCTTAGGAATTCAGACGGTCTTTATGATAGTATGACACAAATTAATATGAGTAACACACCCACTAAAATCGCTCACTAGATGGCTCCCAAGTGTTTTATCCGTTAAAAAACAAACAGTTATTAAGCATCAATGGATACCGCACTGGGATATCGGACGAATAATGTTGGTCCACACTACGACGTCCTGCGAATGCCCCCTGACGGTACATACCAAACATAATTAATGAAATGAATTTAGGATTCAAACCATGATCAACAGATCCTTGCTAGCTCTGCACGGGTAACTGCTGTACCTTTGCCCACTGGACCACATGTTAAATGAACGTGTAGTGATATAAGTTAAAAATGTATAAATAATATAGGCGAAGGCAAAATAATATAAGCATGGGCAAAAGCAATATAGGCGGGAAGAAGATGCCAGGCCTTCTCCTTCGCTCTGAGCAGACGACAATGTGTACTTACTTGGTGTAAGGTAAGATTATGTGCCTCTGTACTGTCGGCGCAGTCCGAGGATTCCCCCGGAACATCGCATAGGTTTATGGTCAGGTTCGCCATTTCCATCACAACATCTGACAACCGTCTATTGACCAATAGCAAGTGTGTCAGACTTTCCGTCTCACGAAACAAAATTCCTCATGACAGGTAACAGAAAACGCTGAACACGATGCAGCATTTGAGCTTAAAATATGCTAGTAAGCCGGAACCTATTTGACACGTCGACCTCGCTAGCACATGACCGTGACGTGATATAAACATTCTAGCTTGTCAGACCCTTTGTAAGTCAATGCTAGCCTTGATCACTCCAGTTCAGGTACATTCGTGCTTTTGTTTACAGTCACCATGTTGAAACTAAGTATCTTTTGAATATATTTGCGATAAAAACTTATACGTATGAACGCAGATGATCAGCAACGCGCATAAATATGCTTCCGCGAGCGTGTTTAGGCGGAGGCCTGTTTACAGTATTGGGGACAAGTTGTCCCGTTTCCTGCATTCATACCCCAGTCTTCTTGTGGTTGCTGAAAGGGACGAGGTGGGCCGATTGATAACAGAACATAAGCTTTTCAAGCAGTTTGCATTTAACAAAAGGCAGTTCAAGTAATTACAATATATTGTCAAACGGTTTGTTTAGCTGTACATGAATGACAGCTGTGTTGTGAAACGTTTCGAGGGTGTATGTTAATGAGTTTTGCGGTTGGGTACCCGAAAGCATCTACCGTGACAAGACACACCCATACCAGATGAACCGGGGCATGGTATGGGGTAGTGTGGTTAGACTCGTTTATAAACGTCTTTGTAATCTAAACCAAGATCGTATCTCCAAATAATAAAAAAAACACTTCCCATCTGTGCCTGTTTCATTTGATTTTTATATATCAACTAAGTCCAGTTTGGAATAGTCACATTGAGGTATGGATGCTGACCTTACCATTCCCTTCTCCCATGTCTGACTGATGGAACATCTGACTAATGAGAGTGGCCCCGGTTTCCAGAAACCGACTTAAGAACATCAGGTAGTCACGCTCGATTATTTGTCTGATTGCAAACAAACAGACAGTTTATTAACACACAACAAATGAAATAAGTGCACAATAAATATAATATACATATGAAAAGTACAAGGTTCGACGATGTGATATGATAACATTACTAACAAGTTCATTGATGGACAAAAACAAAACAGCTTCTGTACATCAGTAAGATCTTCATAATCAACATTAAAATAACAGGCAATGCATTCTAAATTAAAATGTAGGTCATCATTCACTGGACATTTGAGTAAAACATGAATTTACCCTCAATACGGTGGTTAAAAACGCAAAGGACGTGCGCTGTTCTTGTGGCAAGTTCTCGTAGTCTCTATCCTAATAGGGGCAACCCAACATCTGATTTAGCAAAAAGCGCTTCTGTGGTGCTTAGGCACAAGCATATTTAGATAGGTTTCAGCACCGTACTACAAATGCCACTTTAGTAGCATATTTATTTATTTTTTAATCGCAATTTCTCGTAATTTCAATTATTTGTTCTTTTCTCGATCGAAATTTCGAAAGAGAAAATATTTGAAATTGTGAGAAAATAATCGAAGTAACGAGAAAGAACTCGTAATTTCGAGAAAATAATTGAAATAACGAGATGATATTCGAAGCAACAAGAAATACTCAAAATTTCGAGGGGCGTTCGGGTAGAGTTCGATTCCTGACATGGGTACAATGTTTGAAGCCCATTTCTGGTGTCCCCCGCCGTGATATTGCTGGAATATTCCTAAAATCGTATAACTTACTTAAAGCATTGTATGGTATATCACCAATTATTTACATTAGGCAATGACGAGCCCTAATGCCTGATTGCCTGTTTTGTGTCCGATGGCCTTTCGCCCATGCATTCGGTTGTTGTTTTGCCTGGGGCGTTCTCCCTTTGCCGGCAGGTATTGTTCTCGTGTAACTTTATTTGTATGCCAATAGAATACAAGATGGAATTATACATGCGATTAAATCTCTAAAACATAATAAGTCCTCGGGTATTGATCTGATCGAAAATGACCATTTGATTGATTCTTCCCATGTTCAACCTTATTTTTGTCATCATCAATGATCCCCGATTCGTGGCTCGCTGGTTATTGTACGTATATACAAAAGGAAACGCAATATATGACCCCTTTAGTTATAGACTTTAGCTGCTTTGGTAAACTTTTTACATGTTACATGTATTCTGAATTCCAGACTTAAGGGTCAACTATTTGATATTCACGTGTGTGTAGAGGGCTTCGATTTTATCCCAAAAACAAAATCGTCCTCGATTATTCTTGAAAAAAATAATTATGTTTCGTATTGTTGGAATAAACTGAAATTGACTGCAACAAAAATTGTGTTTTTTAGGAAATAGTATAATTAAAAAGAAATACCTGGTTTTGCAGCTGTAGCTGTACAATATCTGGTCTCATCAAAAAGTCCCAGCTCCCAGAATATCAAGCGGTCGGTCCCTTACATGTGTTTTTAGGTACAAATGATGAGGTCTTAACCGTCTCAAGCGTGATTCCGAAAACATTTTCCTACTTCAGATAATATTCCTGTTCACCACACAAAGAATGAAGTCTTTAAACAGAAAATTGTGTATTGCGCATTATTTTATTTCTCCCGAGCAATAAAACACAGAGTGCTGGTCTGTGGTTAAACCTACTACGAAATTGAGTTGAAGGTAACCTTTTAACACATCATGTGTTAAAGTTAACATTGGCAAGTCTGTGACTCAGGCTTTAGACAGGGAGACAATTTATCACCTCTCCACTTTTCTATGTAACCCGTAAAATTACCACTCAGGTCAATTATAATGATGCTTTACGCTGCTGATCCAATTCTATTTTTTTCATTGTCGCAGTGGACTACCAATTACTGAAAACATTTACAGAATGCTTTAAGTGGAAACTGTATACTGTTATTGTTAAAACTAAATTTATTTTTTTTCGCTCCGGACCAGCGTGTAAACGTTAACACAAATTCTTGAAATTATTCAGATAGTAGATACGTATAACAACCTGGAAATTGATTTCAATCGAAACAGACGAATGAATATAGCAATTAAAACATTAACCAACCACGCACATAAAGTAATGTTTGCACTATTAAGAAAAGCTAGAAACGTAGATGTCCCATTAAAGTGTCTCCTCCACGCATTTGACACTATGAATTTATTATTTCAGTTATATGAAAAACTATTTCATCCTCATGACATCAAAGTAGTCAAAATCCGCCACGGGATCTCTGTTTACTTTAAATAATTCCTCAGGACGCTGGTTATAGTCAAACATTTCAAAATCAGCAATATACTTCTCGCGAAGGTTTTCCATGTCTTTGAGTGTCACCATCGAATAGGCTTGCAAAAAGGCCTCTTTCTTGTTTGCTTTGGCCGACGGCCCGGATCTCTTGAATGCGTCCAATGCCATGTTGAGATATTCGGTGACGGTTATGTTGTTACTCTGCTCGGCAGAGAGGGGATACAAATCTATTTTTTCTATCATCCCTCCTATTTGTAACTGGCGCCATAGTCTCTGATAACCAGCATGTATACTAATGCAGCGACTCCACCCATTCCTGAAGGAAAATGCCCGTACGACAGCGTCAACTATATAATCTACCTTATACTCAGTATTCACATCTTTGAATATAATGTCTCTGTCATAGGAACCTGATTTTTGCAAAATATACCGTGTGTCATCTTGGAACGTCTCAATCTTGCCAATGACGTCATAATCCACCGAGCAAGCGTCGCAACAATACGCAACCGGTCTAAGATGCACGTCAAAACTTTTAGAGTTGAGAGTGTTTAAATATTTGATATATTCATCAAAAGTCACATCGGATCCACAAGTTTCCGTGCCATTTGTATAGGACGATCTGAACATCTGAATCGCCTTTTTACCAAGACTCCACATGTACCTGTTTGGTGACAGAACTTTATCTATAAACGTTGAAAACACCCGACTGTACGGGTCCCGAGCGAATATGAATTTAAGAGTAGTTTCAAGGAGTTTGGACATGTCATCCGCATGAGCCGCCTCCGTCATATTGAGTGGAATCTTAGCATTGGATTCTTTGAAATCTATGTAGGACAACTGGAAAGGCGAAACAACTTTTGGGTCTTTCCGCCTCACCACTTCAAATGCTCTCCGCCAGAAGGTTGAACCAGACTTTGCAACAGGACAATACATTATGCGAGGTTCCTTCAGGAACCAGTGATGCTTACGCACTATCTTTGTGTTGAGTGTTGTCTGGTCCTCTGCTTGCTTCTGACAATACTTCGTCAAATGTTCTTTCCTCTTTTTATAGGTGTTCTCATGTTTTTCCTGTAAAGGCAATTAAAATACTATCAGCATAGTAACGCTGGACATGGCGACGAAGATGAATTCATTAAGCATAAGGTAATTTCAAAAACAAACCAGATGCCCATATTTGAGTCAGTAAAACATCCTCCGTTGCTATAGTTCGGATTTTCCAAGGTTTGTATTTTCGTTTACAAATTGTACTCATAAATGGTAAAGCTTTGGTCGCTGTCATTCCCGAAGTCAAATGTTTTATTACTTATTCGAGGCTTATCAAGTAACATTTTAGTCTCCACTGCTTCCTGTCAGTAGTTGCGATTGAAGACATCATAACCAACTCACCTGATTTCTTATGAATATGACGCTTCTATTTATTCTGTCCTGCAGTTGGGTTCGAAGATTATGAATATAATGTTTCACTATAACGTCTCTGTCTGTGACATCTTTGGGTAGGTTAAGGCGCAGCTGCAGCTTCTGGTGCACTGGTACAGCCACAGGGTTGTTGTCCACAATATCTTAAATATAATACATTTCTGTCACTGAATACGTTCGGTGTTATATCACACTTGTCACACGGACACAGAAAGTCTGTCGTGGCCAAAACCGTCACGTTGACCATACAACTACAAATACTAGTAACGGTAGCCTCCTGGCCAAAACCGTCACGTTGACCATAAAACTACAACTACCAGTAACGGCAGCCCCCTGGCCAAAACCACCCCCTTGACCATACAACTACAACGACTTGTAACAGTTACTGGAGAAAATTTAATATTCAGAATAGTTATCTGAGTTTTAGTTTTAGTTTAAAAGTGCCAATCAAGTCAACAATGAACAGTGATTGAGTGTACGTTAGGCGCAATTGTTCACTCTTTGTATAATGCTAACAAACAAAAACATATATTATCACGTTATAGATATTGGTATCGATACGATCAACCAATCCATTAATTGTGCAACTGTGGTCACCTGACAATAACTACTTTTAGTATGCTCCATAAACGTCGTTTCAACTGACGCAGCTTACCCAATAGAAATGTGAATATCAATTAACATGGCAAATACGTTCTCTTACTCACAAGAAGTAGCATTGTAACGCCGTAGTAAATCATACAAGAAGTTGCTTATTGCAAATGTTTATTGTTTTCAAAGACATTAAATCAGACATTTAAATAACTGATTGTCTCCTGTTTTAACGAACTCCAAGAAAAATGTCAACTCCAATCATTTAGACCTAACACGTATCATTTTTCAGACACATTTCTGACTGTAGATGCTTAGCAAAAATCACGATGACGATAGGAACACTGGATTTAAAGGGGACCAATTTTACTACTATAAGACAAAGACGGAGAACACCAGACTTCGACTGTAAATGACAATGATGCTGAAGATTCTAGATATTTGACGGCACATGATCACAAGACAGACACTTTATGTAGTCTGGTAATGACCACTTGTCTAAATAAAGACACGCTCTTGTTAAAATCTTGGTGATATGAAAACTTAAAATGTGAACTTATGTGAACACAAGAATGATACATATTTTAATAATACAAATAAATATGTATTTTGATTTTCAAACATAAGCTGTCTAAGATACCCAACAGAAGTCTGTATTATGCAAATGTATTTTTTAACTTTTTAAAAGTTTTAATCAAATTATATTTAAAACTAAAACTATGTAGAAGTATTATTTGAGTGATGTCTAAACGCAAGAACTGTTCATGGTTTAATAATATTGCTAAGTTAAGATATTTTCAATTGAAAATTAAATATAAGATAAAATCAACTGAAAGGTCCAGTATTTTTTGTTCCTTAGTTTATTATAAATATATATCGACAATCAACTTGTAGGGACACCGTAAATGAAGATATCGTCTTTGCTTTAACGTTATTTTCAACACCTTGATGCACATTTGGGTATCCCTATCAATCCTTACTATTATTGTAACGATGTAACAGTAGATATTGTAAACATTTAGAAGTTGTAAAAATTAGATACTTACAAAACCCATGTAGAATCCAGATTGCTGGCAACGCCAAACATCCAAAGAGACCAAAGAGACTCAAATGCTTACTGCGAATAACCATGACTGACTGAGAACCGAACAGCGATATGACGCCTATTGCCTCTCCCTGATTAAATACCCCCTGTGACGTTATCCCATTTGTTTTGTACGGGGTTTTCTTGTTTGACCAAGTACGTGGGCTCAATCAAGATGAAAGCCGGGGGCGATTTTGAATATACAGTAAGTCAGTTAGTTTTAACGCCGCTTTTGGTACGCCTAGGGCATCCCCTATGATCGTGTACGACAGGCGGTCTTTCCACAAGGGAAGTGAACGCTTTCCTTTGCGAGAGGTACATGTTAGTTTGCAAATATCGTTTCAGTGAAGCATTTTCCAATATTTCACGAGTTCTAAGCATTTATGCAAAAGCCTTTTCAATGCTTTTATAGCAAAAGATATTACATGAGGGACACGCAATATCATGGGTTCCAAGAGCTAAAAACGAAATTATTTGGTATTAATGACGACTGCCACTTTTAAAAGTCAGCGGATTAATCTTTTCCTGAAATTAGTTTTAAGATTAAATATAAATAGATCATTGTAAACATTAATAACCGATCTTCAAATCTTGAGAAAATCGTCTTTCATAGAAGTGTAGTTATTACATACGTTTTGTTGAAAGGTACCTATCCTCAAGTATAACAGTAAATTTACCGGTTGTGTACTCTTCCCATACATCGCTCGTACTCTTTCCACATGTTATTTTTATATATCCGGTTTTGAGAACGGTTTTAATTAATACAGTGCATTCTATTTTTGAAGGAAGGTAAAACAAGATTCTTGTCGTTGCTTTAATGAAACGCTTGACAAGTTTTCTTCCATCATAAGTTTAAACGCACATGAGCATAAAATACTAATAACAGAAAACTGAAACTGTGTTCAACAGCAGTCATATTCCAAATTAATTGAAAGAAAGAGTGTAAAAGAAGAAATGTTTCTGAAACCAGTGCTGAAAAGAATCTGTTAGTTCAGAAAAAATAAATGAGAAATATACATGATCATAAAACATTATTCCATCAAACCAACCATGACGGTGTTATCTTGTCAGCACAAATTGTTCATTGAATGTAACAATAGTCTGTCATCTAAAAATGGGCGTAAGCTCAAAGTGATGAAGGTTTATAGAGACATTTACCACTTTGGTGAAACCAACGAGCATAAATTGAAACGCTACTGATGTACATGTACAGTTATTTAGTGTATTGTCAGTGTCCCTCGTGGAATTAATCGGAATCGTAAATATCAACCAAGAAATGTACTCTCTTACTCAACCCTACCTGCTCTTACATGGGCAATGAATTTCATCTCCTGGGCAAAGTTTTACATATATTCATGGAAGTTTTCGCAATATTAGACTTCAAAATATAGTACTTTACACAATATTATTAGTGCAAGTATCTACACTACACAACTAGATTCTAGGAAAAGCATTCACTGGCAAGACTTGTTCCATTGTGGAAAGAATTCTGAACGTGGAGTGGAAAGCGTTCTAAGGGTTGTTTAGGGTGGTGGTCTTTCAGTGCTAATAATTTGATAACCGTTAAATATTGAAACGCCATACTTCGTAAAAGCATTCTTTATTGAATTATGTAAAAGTCTTAATACCCTTTGAATTTTAAACGTTTGTATGAATTGGCAAATAATGCAATCCATTCTATGGCTTGTTTCTCAGACAAACTTTCTTCTGACTTTTCTGACGGCTATCAACAGTTTAGTTAGTAAATGGCTTTTATTTCGCGACAAACCTGTTTGGTGTCTTCTCGTTTACCGCATTGAAAAGGTCTCGGCATAAATGCTTAGAACTTGAGAGATATATGAAAATGCTACACTGAAACGATGTTTGCAGACTTACCACTCACAGAGGAAAGCGTTCACTTCCCTTGTGGAAAGATCGTATGCCGTACACGATCACAGGGGGTGTAGGGAGGTCTGTGTCATACAGACCCCAAAACAAATACATGCGATGGAGCTCATGTATGTCTATAATACTTGGCAAGTCTAGATTACTGCAGTTTCAGTTTCTGAAAAGGGTGTCTCTGTGCGCCTTTTTTATTTGGATAATTTAACAACTGTTTTTATTTCTGAAAAAGAGTTTTTATCAGAGACTAGATGTTAGTCTACAGTAAGACCTGCTTTGAGGTTTTTGTTCTTTCAAGTAAGACCTAATCGTAAATACGACCTGGTTTGAGGTTTTATTTTTGAAGTGTCTCAGTCTTTTGCATCAAATGTTGATTTTTGACAGGTTAAATGTGAAGATCAATTCCACATGAACATTCCATGGCGTGAATGGAACCTGCATCCACACTTGTCATATGTTCAGCATTGTTGTCCCACTGAGCCGCCGGGGCAGGCGGTGAAGAAAAGATTCGCCTTGGGCGGATGGGTCGAAAAGTAACACCTCGAGCCTATCGGCCATCGGTCTTCGGACATTGACAATGATGTTTGCTTTCGCCACTTCTTTTCAGCCTTGTTATCAACGATCTGATCTCCGCTTTGATTTCATTATCAATCGTACCTGTTAATGTTGTAAACACGTGTGATGATACAACAGTGAGTTTAAAATTGATTTTGACAGCCCGGGCCAACTCGGACCGAACACACGCCAAACACTTCTGATAGAGACTATGTTGAGAATGTATAGGAAAAGGGCTTCACTTTGAGCACAATGTTTTCTTTAAATACCGCGATCTGTGACACTATAAAGTGGTATATAGGTAGATATTATACTAGTCTATGGATGAAAACACATTTCATGATACATCAGTGAGGTCTAATTAAGTTTATTTTGGCAGCCCGGGCCAAGTCGGACCGAACACTTGTGAACTTTAACCAACGTGTCTGTTTTAAATACGATGAACAGTGACATTATAAAGTGGTATTTACTTGGATATAGTACTATTCTATAAATGTAAAAGATGGATGGAAATTTGTATCACGAAATCCTATTTCATTTAACGATTGCTCTTTTACATGTTGCCTAGTTCAGCGACGCTTGCACATGTGCACAGCTCGACTTTCTGATTTTCAAGCGATTTATTGGCAATCACTTAATTATGGTGCACGTTTTTGGTTTGTGATTGTTCATTAATGTCGTGTGTCTGTTGCATTAATAATATGTAGGTATGGTCGTCGATAATGGAGTATATCAGCCAATAACACTTTGGCTCGTCTTGGCCTGCCCGGCCGGAGTTTTAGGTAATCCCAATGGCGTCTTTATCGTCATTTTAAGAAACTCATTTTAAGGTGAAAAGTATATCTTGCGTTCAATGCTCAGAAATCAAGGGAATGCTTCAGCCAAGGTACGCCGTGGGGTTCATCCAAAAGGAATTGAGACTTGACGATACATTAACCTTCCATTAGAAGAAAGTGAATGTTTCAATTGGCCAGATAGAGTTGAAGATCATTTCACAGTTTTTAAGTTGGATTATAAATACTATTTTGATAACATTATGTAAATATTCCATGTATATTTTAAAGGTAAAAGATAGTTTCTCATAACCCTCAATCGCGGCTCATTATTGTTTTAATTACACGTGTTTTTGTCACTATATTTGTACAGGAGGTGAGAGGTCAATAAAATAGTATGTCTCCCTGTCTGTCTGCTTACTTTGAGCCGACTGAAGAACTTCATATGGTTCACGCTCGATTTAATTACTTGCTTGATTTCATGTTGTGTGCTATATCGTCGGTTTGCCTGGGGCGTTCTCACTTTGCCGCCAGCCATTTGTTTAAGGAAGACGTTATTTTTCAGGGTAATATCATGTGCAGAAACCCGAGTGCTGCCATTACCCGCCCCACGAAGGACAGAACAGAGCGGGGGCTTCTGCAAATAATAATGCCCTGAACTAACGTTGCATAATCTCATGTAACTCCATGTATGACGCTAGGCTACATGATGCCGGTATCACACAAGATGAAATCATACATGCGATTACATCTCCAAAAGCGTAGTAAGGCCTCGGGTATTGATCTGATCAGAAATTGCTACTAGTATTTGATTGATTCTTCCCAATTACTAACACCATTACTCGTTTTACTTAACATTGTTCATTTATTGAAGCAGAATATCAGTAAGGTAAATTTGAATTCTATTTTGGTCGATAGATATATTAACATAACTGCCGTAAATAGTAAATATAATTACTGAACTAAAATAAATATTCCAAATATGGTCCCTATCCGCCCAGTAAAATTAACATTAAAACCCCCGTAGCAATTCACCTATTGGTTGGGAAAGTTAAAATAAAGGAAATATCGTCATTTTGTTATAACAGAGATAAAGAAATGCGAGACAAATAAGACGAAAGGATCTTTTCCTCACATAGAAGACACTGATGTTGTGTATGAAGATGATATTGATAGAGCCAATGTATTGAATACTAGTAATTACTTTGTCGATATCGCAACTGTTGATAATCCAAATGATGAAACTGCAGATGATGATACATTTGTCTTTATTTAAAAACGCCTATGAATAAAAGCATATCAAATTAAAATTTAAAGATTGAATCTTGTATCGTCGGATTATTTGTTTTCGGACATCATACATTTTCGGACGGTGCTATAACGAGGGACGTGGAGCCAAACAGACATTGTAAACATTCTTCTGAATGTTATCTTTATCAAGCGAGTGAGATTATTTACAGTTGTTCATGTTATTCGCGAGAAAACTACGACTGTGTGTTTTGTGTCCGAAAACCATAACCTGAGGATTAGTGTTACATGTTTATACAAAAACCATAACCTGAGGATTAGTGTTACATGTTTATACAAAAACCATAACACGAGGATTAGTGTTACATGTGTTCATACCAGATCGTCACCTGGCCAAAATCAAATATACATATCAAAATACGTTAACAGATGGTACTTGTTATTTCCCTGCCTGGCACTCGGCGTTTAGGGGATACAACAAGAACCGGTCGGCTCGGAATCGGTATACTGTGTCTGAGTGTGACATCCGTGTTAAACAGCGGCATGGTATGTCAGTGGGCTAGCACTATAACAACGGCACGTCCATACCAGTACAAGC